AGAGTATCCTTAATAAACCCACTCCGTTGGAGATGCAGTAATACTCTCAATTATGTAAGGCAGGATGACTTTTGTCCTAATGTGTTCCAAAGCTTGTGTAAGCAAGATTCTAACCTACAGAGCATTCTTTGGAGGAACACACCTATGTGAGCCCGACTGCTGGTCACAGTCTATGAGATTGGATAATCTCTAGTGAGCTCATGAGAAGGTACAGAGTATAACTAATAGGCTCCACCCGTGGGGTTTAGCCTTCAGCAGCCACGTATCAGCTGACAATAGGCGAAACTTCTACATGCCAAACTAACAATTCAAGGCATAGTTCATTGTTCAGTTGTGAAGAAGTCTAATCCTGTTGCTCTAGGTGGAAGTTCAACTTAACAGTCTCCATTGAAAATTCTGGTATATCAAACATTGTTTGGAACAGCTGACAAACTTATGTGCCTCGAGATCTGGTGGGGGATTGTTGGATTATGGATGGGTTTAGGCCCATATAAGACACTAATCCCTGGTTAATCTTGAGGCCCATGTATGAGATGGCAGGTGGTGGGAAGTTTAGTCCCACCTTGCTAGTTGAGGAGAGTTGAGACCCCTTTATAAGGGCTGCTCTACCACTTGCCATTGGGAGCTTGGGAAGAGGAGTGGCACACGCGCGTTCCTCCTCCTCCTCCTCCGCCTCCCGCCACGCCACGCCACGATGCGCGCCGCGGGTTGCGGGTTGCGGGAACGAGTCGAATCTTATTTTTGCCGCTCAGGAACGAATTCGACTCCCTTGCCGGGGGTGCGACCCTTGCCAGGAACAACAACTCCCTTGCCGGGAGTAGGCCGACTCGTTCGTGGGCCTCGGCTAGGCCCACGACTTTCCCCCTTGCGGACTATATAAGAAGGCTCTGGCCAGTGAAGTAACCTAGTTCAGTTCACTCACTCCCTCTCACGTGACCTAGCCGTCATCTACTGTTCCTCACTATGTGCTGCCTCCGGCGATCACATCTCGACGACCACGTGCACAGCTGGTCGGGAGAGCAGGTGCCTCCGAAACCCTGTCGTTCGAGATCCTGCCCAGGGGAACGGCAATAAAGTTCTGCAAACAACTGTTACGAAGCTTTTCAATCAACATCCAACCATTCTCATCCCAAAGTCACTTAGTCTTCAATGTAACAGTGTAATCTTGTGCATGCAGTCCCACGCCACACTGACCACCGAGGAGTGGACGATGCTGTGCCGGCACCAGAACCACGACAATCTGACCCTGGAGGCGTGGAAGGACCTACCGGTCAAGAACCGACGGACCTCGCCAGGGAACTGCCGTGCAAGCGCCGTCGTCGCAGCGGCCGCTTGGGCTCAAGAACCCGTGGAGGCAGGTCGTAATGGACGGGGAGAAGGAGGCTGAGGCTTGAGTGCTTGACCCGTGGTGGACGAGGGCTTGGGGGCGGATGACGGGCCAGATCAAGCTGTTGTTCAGGACTGCTGCGGCCAAGTCATTGGGCAGCAGGGGGCTTGCCTGGGATGTGCTAGCAGCTAGCTAGATGGAGACATGGAGTGACTCGATCCTTTTTGTAAGGTTTATACTATTTGCCTGCTGCATATTGATCTGATTTCTTCAGTTACCTTCTAGGGATCTAGAGAATTTTTCCATCCAAGGATGAACACACTACTTTCAAATTCCACTTGATCCCCATGTGTTGTTGTAGCAGTCGGGGGCTAAAAACCTGGTATCCTGTTTGATCCAGCATGTGGATCAGCACCAACAAAGTTGACCGCTGCAGAAAATAAATGAACACAAATGAATCCCTTCCATACACCTTCTCATTTCTGAATCCTGGCTTGAGTAGGCAGAGATGAGCATTTAAGTGAAATTTGCTGAATATGAGTGACCCATGCATGTGGAGTTTGTTTTAGGTTTACAGGCTTCCTGCTGGTTTTCAGAGATTCAAGTGCATGTCTCCATATCACAAATACATAGCGTTTCAGACATTTCTTAATTAGGCCAATATTTTAGAACTTTCACTACAAATATTCTTTTCCAAAGATATAATTGAGAACTTGTAAATCATATGTTTAGATTTGTCTCGAAAAGTAGTCACAATATTATAATTCTTTGTGTTATATATGTATGTACTATAATAGAAATTAATGAAAATGGTAATCTTGAAGACCTTTGAAATCTGTGTATGTGAAACTACATGTGCAACCTCTACTTTCTGTGCCTTCCTTTGAAAGTAAGCCGTCAATTTCTTGTGTGCATTCAGTTTCCAACTGTCAAACTCAAATAATACTACTCCCTCCGACCAGGGAGTATTATTCTTTGGAAGCACCCTCAAGCTTTGGAGGGGATTCTAAGTTTACTTGGTTAGACAGTGCATGCAATGTATAGAGAGTTAGAGCATCTCCAGCCGTTGGCCCCCCAGGGGGCGCCTAAAATCGCCGCCTGGGGGTGAGCCGGCGCAAAAATTGGGCCTGGGGCGAGGTTGTCTCCAGCCGCCGGCCCCAGACCGCCCTCAGGCGCGTTTTAAAATAAAAGAAGTATAGCACAGTTCGGCGAAGTTCGGCTATAAACACGATAAATTTCGGCCAAACACGATAAATTTCGGCACAATTCGGCGAAGTTTGTGGATTTTCATTACATAGCACATATATAAACTAATCTAAAAAAACTAGCCGAAGTCGCCGCCGTCGCCGCCATCGTCGTCGTCGGCTTTCTCCTCCTTGACGCGGGCGCCCCTGCTGGACCCCTCCCTGGCGTCGCCTTGGCGGACTAGTGGCAGCGCGTCGCCGTCGTCGCTGTCGTAGATGACGACGACTGCGCCTTCTTCGCGGCCGCGTCGGCGCTCCGTGAAGCGGCGCAGGGCGGCGCACTGACGCTCCTTTGCCTTCTCCAGGCGCTCCTTCTCCATCGCTATGGAGTCGCTGCGTGCCCATTCCAGGGCCGCGTCGTCGTCGTCGAGCTCCGTCGTCTTCACCGGCGCGAGCCCCGGCTCCGTCTTCATCGGCGCGAGCCCCGGCTCCGTCTTTGGCTTGACGAAACGCGGAGGGGGAGCCGACGAGGAGGCGCGCCGGCCGCCCTCGTTGATGACGATGCCAGCCTTGCGAGTGCGCCGGCCGAGCGGCGTCTCCGCCGCGGGCTCGGCCTTGACACCGAGCAGGGCCGGAGTACCGGAGGAGTGCGATGAAGATCGTGAGGAGGAAGAATAGGAGGAGGACCCGAACCTCCTTGGCGCCCATGGCCCGGTGCGTCGGTGCTGCGCCGGGGCGGCCACCCTCGCCGGGTACGCCAACGACGGGTCGTTGCCGCCCTCGAGGTACGTCAGCACGCCCTCGAGTGTGCGGCCAGGGACGCCCCACCACAGGTGGCGCCCTCGTTGTTCTTCAGGCCGCCGACCACCGGCGCGCCGTTGGTGGACGCCAAGCGCTGCTGCTGGCGGCGCTCGAAGTACGCCGCCCAAGCCGCGTGGTTGTCGGCGGCGTACTGGGGGAGGGAGAGTTGGGCGTCGGTGAGGGAGGCGCGCACGACCTCGACCTCCTCGGCGAAGTATTTGGGCTCCGCCACGGCGTCGGGCAACGGGGGAATGGGCACTCCCCCGTCACTGAGTCTCCACCCCGTCGGCCCGGCGCGCATGTCCGGCGGCGCCAGGATGTTCGCCTGGAACAGGAGCCAGGACTCCTGTTCGCGGAGCGAACGGCGGCCGAAGCCGTTGGCCGCCGCCTCATCTCCGGGAAACGCTCTGCCATGGCGACGGGCTCGGGAGGGGTAGAGAGGGAGAGGGAGGGGCTGGGCGGCGGCGCTCGGGAGAGGTAGAGGTAGAGGGAGGGGCTGGGCGGCGGCGACGAGCGGGGCTGGTGTGGGCACATGCGAGTGAGGCCGCTGGCTATATAGGCGCACCGTGCCCGTGTGTACGCGTGCGAGGGAGGGGAGGCGTCGGCGCGCCGTCCCGTGACGGCGGCAGCCTTGGCATTGATTCCTCGCGGGAACTGAGGCCGTTAGGGGAAGACGAGGCGCCGTGTCGCTGACGCGGCTGGCCCGCGGTTTTTTCGCGCCAAAACAGCTGGTCCCGGCGCCCCCGGGTGCCCCCCAGCGCGCCGGGTTCAGCCTGAGTCCGCCGGCGCTGTTTTCAGCCCAGGCCGGCGAAAATCGGGCTTCTGGGACGCGACTGGGCCGTTTTTTCGGCGCCGGCGCGAAAAAATCGCCTGGGGAGGCCTTCCTGGGGCGCGGCTGGAGATGCTCTTAGAGACAACCCCTCTAAAGGCTTAAAAGAAACCATAGAGGCAGCAAAGTGCACATTGCAGATGTTCTAAACAAGGTATCAACAAGATAACAAATAATGAAATATTGAAACTACAATGCTCTATCAGCACTAGAGTGAGAAACAATGCCATCAGTTTATTCCATCTGGTACCTAGTACTTGCTCTGTCAAGAATTAGTTGACACTCAGACCGATGTATCTAACATTGAAATACGTCTAGATACATCTGTTTGAGCGTCAACTAATTCCGGGCGGAGGGATTTTATGTTAAAGTATTCTTAGGCTAGTCTAGTTAGATATTAGTATGGCAATTGGGCAGAAAACTCATTAATTGTATGTTGTGTAAACTACCTGTGGTAGAAACATTCATTAATTGTATGTTGCATTTCTCTATAACAGTTTGTTGATGGGGAATAAGCTCAACTACATGCTCAGAATGCTGGGGGCTCAGTGTGCACCATGGACATTATATGAAGGAGCTGCTCAGTTGATGGGACTTCTCCTTCATGTCTGTTCTCCGGTGAGCGCGTTCCGTTTTTGAAGGTATCATCCATTTGGCATAAAATTGAACCGATCGAAGTGTTTCCGAAGGCACACACCATGGGAACCCCATTTCCTTCCACTTGAGCAATTTGTGTCTAGTTGGAAGTGTGAAGAGATCATGCATAGAAGACAACATTGAGTCATTTGAAAGTAAGATCAACTTATTTGATGTTAATTAAGTTGCTGCAGAAAAGGCTGGTCAAATTGCTCGAGACCAAATGGGACCACACCAATCATCTCAGAGACCTGGACGAGTTGAACTGTTGAAGGAGTTGGTACTGAGGATGGAGTCTGCCATGTCGCAGAAGCATGCATTACTTGATGAAAAAGGAAGTTGTATTTACAGCTTGAGCGGAAACTTGAGATCCTTTGTGGCGAAGCAGAGCAGATTGCAAGGGAGGTGAAAGATGAAGATGCAGAGCTCTTAAGGCTGAAAGCGGGTATTCACATGGCCCAGGAAGCATGTATGTGTTGCCGATGAACTGCGGTTTCAGTTTCACGGCACGTTAGCTGAGCTGGGCTGAGAACCGCAGCTTTCTGACCGATATGAACTTCAGAAATCACTTCAATCTCCAACTTGATTAGCACCAAACCTGGATGAAGTTTCAATTGCCATTCGACACCTGTCATGATGCTGTTTATGGATCTTTATATGCTAGCTGGACGGTTTAATCTGGTTGCCTTGTGTTTTTATAATTCCTGTTTAATATGCAGCAGGTTAGTTGATCTGAAGACTTTCTACCTGTTGTTTTATCATATTCGATGCATCTCCATCTCTTGCATTTTTTTAATGGTCTGATGGCTTGTTGGAGGTCGTCAATTAACTTGGTGTTTATCTGTTGGTTCAGGTTGGCAGTTTTGGCTTCCTTTCTTAAATCATCAGGAATATTACTATCATATTGTGTTTTGTCGTGCGCTTCTGGCTGCATTCTCATGTTATCTAGGACTATCACCAAACCTAGATGGAGTTTCAGTTGTCAACTTGTCATTCTTCATATTAAGTCTCTTCTGTTTTTCATTCAGTCATGTTTAATAAGCAGTAGGTCAATCTGAATACCTGCTGTTGCTTTATACTCCCTCCGTTCCCAAATATAAGTCTTTTTAGAGATTCCACAACATGGACTACATACGGAGCAAAATGAGTGAATCTACACTATAAACTATGTCTATATACATCCGTATGTAGTTCATATTGAAATCTCTAAAAAGACCTATATTTAGGAACGGAGGAAGTAATATTCAATCTTCTTCTTTTTGTTTTAGGTCTGATGGCTTGCTGGAGGTTGTCAACTTGGTGTCTATCTGTTGGTTCATGTAATCAACCATATCCTGTCAGCAATTGGCGTCCAATAGATCTGCATTTGCTGATGCAAGTTTGGCCTTTTCTCTTGGCCGCATTCTCATGTCACTGTCCCAGCAAATCGTGCTGGTTCGGCGATCAATCTTGTAGTCTTCTCCAGTTGCAGATCCAAGGAGGGGAGGATAACTAGGCAAGCATACTGAAGAACTCACAACATCAACAACGTCGAGCACGGCTGAGCAGAGATGCTTCCTTCGACGGCTCGCCCTGCAGGTGCCGCGGCCTACACGCAGCCGCAGCTGAGGCAGATGAGGACGCAGTGCCTCGTCTTCCTCGCTTTCAAGTATGTTATGGCGGGTAGCAAGCATCTCAATCTCTGCAAGAATTCCGTTGCTTCTTTCATCTTGACATGTGTGTGTGTGCGCGCGCGCGCTAGGAACCAGATGGAGCCCAGGAAGCGGCACCTCGAGATCGCGCTCGGTGAGGATGACATCGACGGAGCTGGCTGCCACGGCGAGACGACGACGAGCTGGCCTTCTCAAGCCTCGCCGTCCTCTGCAGCACTGTTGCCACTGCCGCACCTCCTGCCCATCTCCTCGCTGCGGCTGTCCCCGCCGGTGACGGAGCAGGAGCAGAAGCAGGAGAATCTCGACCGCAACGACGACCCTGAAGCAAAGCACGACTAGTTGATTGATGGTTGTATCCTCTTGACCTCTTCTCGCCCCGACTGGGCCATCGACCGTCGACCAAAAATGTATGAGTTTCCGTTCAGATACAATGTATTTTTCTCATACATACATATAACAACTTCGATTAGCTTTCTCACACATACATACATATAGCAACTTTGGTTATCTTTCTAGCATCATTTGTATAGGTCACTATACATATATGAATACTTTGTCATATATTTATTTGAGGGGAAAAGCCACTTTACTGATCAAAATCCACAGAAGGTGGGATACAAACTGGGTCATGTGGCTGGCCAAGCCATACATGACGCCCCTTAGCTAGAGTAGTAGCAAACTTAGCCAAACTACGAGCTTTGAAATTTACAGCACGCCCTTCAAAAGTGAAGTTACAAGAAAAAAGAGTTGATTTAGATTTAATTTCGCTTATGATAGCTCCGTAGGGCCCCTGGTTGCCTTTAGAGATGTTGTCCATCACTTGCTTATAGTCAGACGCTAATTGCCTCACGACAAGCTATCACTTCTAGTGTGGCAGGATCGCAGACTCCTCCAATGACCAAAGCACAACTACCCAGATAATTGCCGCGGTTGTCCCTGCATATTGCAGCTGTCGTTCCTGGTCTTTGTGCTTGAACCCATATGCATCAACATGAATCTTAGCATATGTGCTCGAACCATAGCGTCGTCTCCCTCTTGGGGGCGTCGTCGTGGAGCTCAGGTACCCTTTGGTCACGTTTCATTGTCATCGGCGGGCGAGCTCGAATCCTAACTCGAGGCTCCTTGGGCTCTAACTAGGGGTGGCCCCGGCGGTGTCCTATCTTTTACACGTGGCGTTGTTGCCATCGTGCTCGATCCTCGTTGTCTGCAGGCAGGATCGGTGCTCCACAGACCGGAGCGAGAAGATAGGGGGGCATCTCCAGCTACTTCTTGGTGGGTGTGTTGCATCGATGTCCGGTGGTTTCTCATGGAGGTGCGGTGTCTCTTCTAGTTAGTAGCCTTGGTGTTTCTTGGTGGGGTGTGGGTGCTCTTGTATCCTTTTTTTAACCCTTAAAGTTTATTGCTCATATCAAAAGAGTTACATCATGTAGTACAAAGGGCAACAAGAACGAGGGTGGATCACCATCCCAAATTAAATCTAACTTAAGATCATAAGAATGTTCGCAATTGATGTGCAACATTATTCGCTTCTCGTGGGCAGTGTGTAAATGAAATTCCTTCAATCAGCGATACCTTTGCAAAACACTCCGCTAAAGTTGTAGTATAGGGGCTGAAGATGTCGGCTTCACCATTACATGCGTTGATCAATTCCAAACAATCAGATTCGATTGTGACCTGCGTGCACCCTAAACTCTCGACCATCTCAATCCCTTTCAACATTGCAATGGCCTCCGCCGAGGCAGCATCAAGAATAGTTCTTAGGTAGCTCGCAGTACCAACCATAACTTCCCCTCAGTGGTTGTGAAGCACATCACCGACAGCCCCCGTTCCATTTTCATGAAAGGAAGCATCCGTGTTTAGTTTATAGCAGCCAACTCTTGGTTTTGACCATAATATTTCTTGTGGTTTCCTAGTGGGTATAGCAGCCCCATAATTCGAAGTTAGTGCCATGCAAAGCTTTCCATATGAAGATCTTAATCTTGCTTGGGACATTTTATTTCCATAATATATCCCACACTGGATTCGGTCCCTGGCCATCTTCTCTCCTAACTCGAGCACCAAACTGATGTTCCCATTTCGTATAGTAAGCTGATCGTACCGAGAAATTAAAGGACTTTGTGACATGCCAAGCAACAAAATCCTCCTGCATATGCTCGCCCAATGGGATCATGAGAATATTGTGTGCATCCACGGGGATAAAAAATGTCTTTTATAAGATTTTCATCCCAACTCCCAGATTCAACATCAATTAATTCATCAACTGTTTTTGCGGCTGATTTTGCAATGTCTCTTATAATATTTTTGCGGCTGCTATAATATTTTTGCGGCTGATTTTGCAGTGTCTATTATAAACTTTTTTGCGGCTGCTATAATATTTTTGCGACATTGCAGTCAACATCAATTAATTCGAAGTTAGGGCCTGAATTGCAAAATGTCTCTTATTGTGTGCATCAACAATTTAAAAAAAATATTAGGGCACCTTTTGAAAACACGAACAATTTTAGAACTTTTTCTAAATTATTATATAACCTTGTTTAAAAGTTTGTGAACATTATTTTTGAAATTTCATCACCTTATTAAAATTCTAGGATTCTTTACTGCAACCTGTTTGTTCGAGAAAACCGGCAGAAAAGCGAATGTACCTAAAGTGCGGACCGGCGATGTAGGCCGACGGTTTGTGCGTTCAGCCATTAGTCGGCCCAGAGTCTTGAGTTCAGCCAACTTGGCCCATTTTTGTCGGCTCACTTCCCCAGCAGCCTCCTGCGAACTCCCACAAACCAGCACACACACAGCCGCCGCCGCCGCCGCACGCACCGACGCCGGAGAGCGGCCGGAAGATGGCCTTGTCGGCGATCCCCGACGAGCTCCTACTGGAGATCCTCCTCCGCCTTCCCACCCCAGAGGACCTCGTCCGCGCCTCCGCCGCCTGCGTCTCCTTCCGCCGTCTCGTCGCCGACCGCGCCTTCCTCCGGCGCTTCCGCAAGCTCCACCCCGCGCCCCTCCTCGGCTTCCTCGACTACAGCGGCTTCCACCGAGTGGTACCGCCTCACCCCTCCGCCCCGGCCGCCCGCGCCGTCGCCAAAGCTGCCGACTTGGGCTTCGAGTTCCTCCCCGGGTCCTCCTTGGACTGGTCCGTGCGGGAGGTCCGCGACGGCCGCGTCCTGCTCGACAGACCCTCCCGCCACGACGAGCTCGGATCCGTCTTCAAGGAGATGGTGGTGTGCGACCCCTTGCACCGGCAGTATCTCCTGCTCCCCCCGCTCCCCGGTGACCTAGCCATTTCGATTGTTGTCGGACTCGCGCTTGAAGGGCCGTGCTTCGGGGAATCCTTCCTCGCCCCTCCCGGGGATGAAGAGGAGGCGGCTGCTACTACTGAGGGGACGTCATTCAGAGTGATCTTTATGATGCTGCTCAAAACTAAGCCGATGGCCGCTGTTTTCTCTTCCTCCACAGGGCAATGGCGAGCCATTACATCCCTGATCCACAGCGACTCGTTACCTGGCTTTGCGTTATCGACGTGGAAGTTTTGGTTCGTGTCGCACCATTACGCACATGGTTGCTTCTACTGGGTTTCAGGTACCAGTGAAAAATTGCTCGTGCTTGACATCCGGACGATGGAGTTCTCCATGGTTAACCACCCACCCTGTGCCAGACAACCGGGCGATGATGTGGCCATCATGGAGGCAGGCCAAGGCATGACTGTGATGTTTGTGCCTAAACCTGACACAGATCGCCGTATTTATACCGTCTGGTGAAACAATGGTGGGAGTTCCACCCGGTGGCAGATGGAGAATGAGCCATTCTAGCTGGAATCTGGGTCCTTGATCAAGGGTGCGGTGGGTAGGCACTTGCTCCTATATTATGTCGGAAACTCGTCAGTCAAGCAAGGTTGTTACACGCGGGACGTCGACACATTTCAGCTTGAGAGGGTGAGTGGTTCATGTCCCCACCCATCTGAAGCATACTGCAACTTTCCACCATCGTTATTATCGTTGCCGACAGTGTCAAGTGGTAAACTTTCTGTTGCATGCTAGTTACCTTCTTCCTTTCATAGTTATCACTATCGCATAAATTGTCTGATGCTTGCTAGTTTATTATTGTGCTCAGTAATCATTATTTGCAAGGTTCAATGGTTCTTCCCTTTTGTGCTTGTGACAAAGCTGATCAAGCTATTTTTCTGTTTTATTTGCCATCTTATGCCATCTTGTACACTAGGAGTAACTTTTTAGATGCATCATAAAACCGTAAAAAAGCACCGGATTGTTCAATACCTTTGACATGCCTTTAACCCTTTCTGCAACATGCATTGTTCTATTTTGGTCCATTACATCTGAAAAAATTGTCATTGGGCAATTTCCTTTCGTCATGTCCTTCATAAATGAAGCTCTTTTCAAATTCATAGTCATCAAGTCAATCCATACAACCTACTGAAATTGTTGTCTCAATTAGTGCACTTGTCTCATAGAACTGCTTTGTACAGTTCTGAATTTTGGTATCATTTTCTGCATATCTTTTTATCTCCTTAGAAATCTCAAATTGTTAGAGGGTAGGATATGGCCCACCCAGAATTTTGAGAAAACAATTTCTATCATATACTATTTTGCCTATTTCGGCCCAAAAATAGCTGATTAATTTGGCCAACATCCCACCTCTCTTCCAGTCATCCCCTTTCCTTCGTCATGTGAGCTAGAGAGACCTAACTCTACTTGTTGTCTCCTCCCAGCTTCCCGCTCTGGCGCCTCTCCACTCCCAGGATGCCGCCGGCTCACCGTCGGCCTTCGCTCCAACAACCGCCGAGGCTTCCGGCTCCCGCGATCCCGCCCTCTTCTCCAGCGACCGCTGAGGCTGAAGAAAATATGCCCAAGAGGCAATAATAAAGTTATTATTTATTTCCTTATATCATGATAAATGTTTATTATTCATGCTAGAATTGTATTAACCGGAAACATAATACATGTGTGAATACATAGACAAACAGAGTGTCACTAGTATGCCTCTACTAGACTAGCTCGTTAATCAAAGATGGTTATGTTTCCTAACCATGAACAAAGAGTTGTTATTTGATTAACGAGGTCACATCATTAGTTGAATGATCTGATTGACATGACCCATTCCATTAGCTTAGCACACGATCGTTAAGTATGTTGCTATTGCTTTTCTTCATGACTTATACATGTTCCTATAACTATGAGATTATGCAACTCCCATTTACCGGAGGAACACTTTGGGTACTACCAAACGTCACAACGTAACTGGGTGATTATAAAGGAGTACTACAGGTGTCTCCAATGGTAGATGTTGGGTTGGCGTATTTCGAGATTAGGATTTGTCACTCCGAT